TTTGCAATTCGCGATGACGGAGTCTTGTACTATCGTGAACGCCTAGTGGTGCCCCGCGGTGGAGTGAGGGATCGCTTGTTACGCGAGGCTCACGGAACCGTATACACTATGCACCCGGGTAGTAACAAGATGTATCAGGATTTGAAGAAATCCTATTGGTGGCCAGCTATGAAAAAGGAAATCTCCGAGTTCACTGCGCGCTGTTTGACTTGTCAGCAAGTCAAGGCTGAGCACCTGGTTCCGACAGGGTTGCTGCACCCTCTTACCATTTCGGAATGGAAGTGGGAAAGGATCACTATGGACTTTGTGATCGGATTGCCACGATCTTCACGAAAGAATGACGCCATCTGGGTCATTGTTGACAGGTTGACAAAGTCCGCTCATTTTCTACTCGTCAGACGTGACTCTTCCTTGGACAAATTGGCAGACTTGTACGTTAGAGAGATAGTTCGGTTGCACGGTGCACCGCTGTCAATCTTATCCGATAGAGATCCCCGGTTCACTTCGATGTTCTGGAGAGGACTTCAGAAGGCTCTTGGCACAGCTTTGAACCTTAGTACGGCATTTCACCCTCAGACCGATGGCCAGTCCGAGAGGGTGATACAGATTGTCGAGGATATGATGCGAGCTTGCGTGATCGACTTTGGAGAAGATTGGGAGCGTTACTTGCCGCTGATGGAGTTTGCATATAATAACAGTTACCAGGCGAGTATTCAGATGGCTCCTTATGAGGCACTCTACGGCAGAAAGTGCCGAACCCCGATTTGTTGGACAGAGCTTAGCGAGCGTAAGCTCGAGGGACCAGATATTGTGCAGGAAACCGAGGAGAAGGTTCGTGTGATCAGAGACCGACTCCGCACTGCTTCGGACAGATAGAAATCATATGCAGACTTAAAGAGACGAGACATAGAGTACAATGTTGGTGACATGGTATTCTTGAAGGTTTCACCTTGGACGAAGGTCCTACGGTTCGGGAAGAAAGGGAAGCTTAGCCCTAGATTCATTGGACCCTACCGCATTCTGGAGCGAATAGGACATGTTGCTTACAAGTTAGAGTTGCCACCAGAGTTGAACAGGATTCACGACGTCTTTCATGTCTCCATGCTACGTAGATACCGTTCAGATCCGACTCATGTGTTGCCGACCAATGTCGTAACCCTCGACGAGAGTTTGTCTTACGAAGAAGAGCCAGTTAAGATCTTGGCGCGCGAAACTAAAGTACTAAGAAATAAGACGGTACCTTTAGTAAAGGTACTATGGCGTAATCATGCGGTGGAAGAAGCAACCTGGGAGACCGAAGAATCTATGCGAACTCAGTACCCTCATCTCTTCGACGACCAATGACTCAGGTAATTTCGAGGACGAAATTCATTTTAAGGGGGGGAGAAATGCAACGCCCCGAAATCTGGCCCAAAAGAATTAATTAAATTGTTAGAGCAATTGATTACGAATTGGGCCCAAAAAGGGGTTAAAATTATAATTGGGATTCTAAGCCCAACTTTTATGTCATCTCGTAGGAAATAATTTTGTGATCGCGTCGGTTCAGACGGCTCGCGAATCGGAGTTATGGAGCTCATGTTATGACCATTTAATCAGGTATTTTGGGTCCGAAGCCCAATCCTTTTAGGAATGGGACCATTAAATAAACCTAAACCTTTCTTCTTTCCTTCGGATCTCTGAGAACCGCACAACCGCACATCTCCTTCTTCTTCTTCTTCTTTCTTCTTCTTCTTCTTCTTCTTCTTCTTCTTCTTCTTCGCCGATCGACCTCCGCCGCCGAGTTGCATCTTCGCCGCCGTACAATTGGAGCAGCCGCCGGCGTCGCCGCTCATCGCAGGTCGCCTTCCCCAGCCTCGCCGCAGCCAATCGCCGCTCCTCGTCGCCGTCCAGTTGAAGCAACCAGCCGCCGGCGTCGCCCTTCCCCAGCAGGTCGTCGCCGTCCAATTGGAGCAGTCGCCGCCCAGCGTCGCCAGTCGCTGTCACGCGCCGCCGCTGTGTCCTTAGCTAGTAGCCGCCGCTCCTCGTCGCCGTCCAATTGGAGCAGCCAGCCGCCGGCGTCGCCGCTCATCGCCGGTCGCCCTTCCCCAGCCAGCCGTCGTCGCCGAGCCTCCAGCCGTTGTTTCACCTTCGCTGGAAATCCGCCATCATCGCCGACGAATTGCAGCGCCGCCACGCCGAGCGCTGGACGTCGCCTGAACTGCCGGCGTCCTTCCTCGCCGTCGATTGCAGCGCCGCCAGTCGCTGCTCACCGCCGTCGAGCTGCCGCTACGCCACTGTCGCCGGCGTCCGTCACCGTCGCCGCATCCGGCCGCTGCCCCGAGTTGATATCGCCGGCAGATTAACCTCCACGCCGGATTGATTGGTCGATTTCGTATTTTGACTCGACTTGACCCGTTCGGTTGATTTCGTTGATTTGTCTTCCGTTCGAGCTATCGATTCGATTTCGACGTAATCCAGGTCCGTACTATGAAGTTAATAGCATTCAGAATAGATTTAATGGTTTGGATCGTTATATGTGTTTATGCTATAATTTGGCTAAATTGGTTAATTGAATTAAATTGATTGTTTGAATTGAATTGTTGAGGATTGTGAATTGACTGAACAGGTTTGACTTTGACTTGGGTTAGGTC